ATACCAAAGACCACGTATGTCCATACTTACATCACCGTATAGATATATACGTGTTCTGAGCATACTATGGACCAGTACAATCAGATCTATCATAACAGGTAAGCCGTCACAAAGATTCGGCTGGCTAATAGGGTTCTATAGGGCTTAGCCTTATAGGCTATAGGCTAATAGGCTAATAGGGCTGGCTAATTAGGGTTCCATATTTTGAGGAATTTTCAGCACTGGGCATTGTCTGTTTTTGTTTATAGAAAAGTTTGTTCGTCTTTTGATTAATATGTGTGTATTGCATGATTTTATGCATCTTACTGTGATAAGCATCAAAGATTCTCGACCTGCATGTGCGAGCGCAGATGTAGAAAGGGTGCGTGCATCTCAGGGAGCGTGCGCACGTGTTCATGTGTGTGGGTATGCAGGTGAGCGTATATACAAGTGAACATGCGTGCATGAAATCGTACGTGTGTGTGTGTGCGTGCGTGCGTGCTAGTGTAACGAGGATGATGACGTTACCCGCTTAAATGTAGATCTGTTGTAGCGATGAATAATGAAACTCCAAACTCCAAGCAGTTGTGTTCAGCAAATAGTATATTGTTTCTCAAACCAGATACGCTCGCACAGAGGCACGCAGACACGTGCCTCGCACACTCACGTCCGACCTCCCTCACAACCAAGAACCTTCCCTTTATACATTTCTAGATAACAAAGGACGTCGCGCGCGCCCGGACAACCACACCTGCTGCCCACATGTACAACAACTCCCTCTCAACCGTTTCGCATCTCCATCATCCATACTACATCAAACACGCTACCGCCGGCCAACACATTATGCAGCCACAGTCGCTACATTTCCAATCACTCAACTACTATTTGTGACATCTGCAACCCATACTTTACATTACCTTCCTTTCCTCCAAGACGATGGCTTCTATAAGCCATCGACTTTAGCGTCCTCGCTAATCTAAAACAACTCCTAATCTTAATCCACCCTACGTACACACCCATGCACCCTTACATCCCACACACGCACGCACGCACGCACGCACACACACACACACACAGACACATACACCTGTCTCTCATCCTGGCGAATAGACAATCCAACATTACCCAAAATTGCTCGTACCCTTACTATACTAATACAATATCGATCTCTTTCATCGAACACCAATACACTCATATACAAAAATACAGTTTGAACAAATATCCATATGACCACTATAATACAACATCGATACACAGATACACAGATCGATGGAATACACAGCCCTGTGAAATCATCCCACTGACCACTTTGATATAATCCACATGCTTGACCCGACTTGCCAAGCTAACCACCATGATCTAAACTGTTCATTGCAATTAATATACCGAGAAAACAACAACAACAACACACGTCTCAATTGCAATACCCCACAACACAACACCTTGAAATACCAAAATGCGCAATAAATACAATGAAAGAAAATAGATATCATAACATCACTGAAAAAAACAAAAATCCCCAGGAGTACGTATAGCTCCATCCACAACGAATATCACTAATTACCATATGCCTTTAAGGTATGTGTGATCAATCACATACATCGAAACCCAGGTCACTCGTAATACCCCTCTCCTCAATATCTTTAAACAACCCTGCCATTATATATGCCATATGTTCCTAACTAAATATACTCTGCCGTATTCAGCGTCACACTTTTCCCAAAATAACATCATCTGTGCTTGCCATTACCGCGTCGCCAGCCTTCTATAGTATCCAACTATACACCTGTGCATAACTATATATCATACGGTTATCTATTGTGCCTTCCTTATGGCGTGACTGAACGAATCCTTATATCGTTCAGGTACGCCCTAGTATCTTAGGGTGCTTACACATCTAGCGTACCTATATTCCTAGCTCTAGTACTATAGAGTACCGAAGTGTGACGTCACGGTGGCATGACAACGAACACACTGGTTCTACCATAGAGTTGTATAATAATATAATAACTATTATACTAATATAATAATAATATATAATAATACTAATACTAATATAAGTACTATTATA